GTCTAGTCTGCTGGACGGAACTTGAAAGTTGTGGAATCCGTCCATATCGGCTACAAGCTCCTGAAGACGATGAAGATGAGGCCACAAAGAAAGAGCTCGATGAAGAAGTTCGTCGACAAGAAGAATCGTTGTTCAAGGATACGGTCAATCAAGCACAAGAAAACGTATCTGAATCCAACGACTATGGCTTCAATCCTGACGAGGTCGACTACAATGAAGGCGATGATGAGGAAATGGATCAGGAGGAGGAAGCTCAACAGGAAGACGACGAAATCGTCGAAGAAGAAGACGATGAAATGGACGTCGAACCTGAAGATGAACCCTCTTCCAAACTTCCAGCGTGGACTAAGAATCTTGAGAGCGGAAGCAAGGGTATGCCGGAAGACGGACTTATCAACAATGATGTCTCCGAGGCCGCGGCTCACTTGTATGACAATGCCGTCATGTCGAAGGTCATCACAATGTTCAGGCTCTACTATAAACAGAGAGTCACTCTGACCCCAGAGGAGTACTACGAGATGATGACGGAAAACAAGCGAGTCCGGCTGGACCTGGACGACTTCTGCCCCTACACAGGCGAAGACCAGGATGGCAACCTCAAGCGACCGACAGAGCTGGAGTTGGACGAACTCTTTCAGGAGAAAGGGAAAAGGAACTCATGGTCAGAGGGAGAGAAGATGTACTCAGGACGACCAAGAAACATGATGATGCCCGTCATCAAGACTTTGGAGATCTATGAAAAGATGATGGAATTTCTGGTACGCGCCGGGTACACTCCCGAGTCATTAGGTTTCCTCATGCCAATGAACCGAATGCAGGCTGATGCCCAAGGGAAGCAGGAGATGCGAGTGACCATCAGCAACTTCCTTCGACGACTGCTGAAAGGAACCTTTCCAGAACACGAATCATACACCTTCTTTCGCTCCGGGAGCCACGGCTTCCCCAACTGCATCGAACTCCCAGCTTTCTCGGTATATCTGAGTCTGAGGGAGAAGGAACAGAGAGTGGAATTACTCTTTGCCGCCCAACAATGTGGCATTCCTTTACCTCAAAACTTTGTCAGCAAGATGGCTTATGCTATTCAACTGGCTGAGGCCGAGGCGCAGAGGGGAAAGACCGAGATGAAAACGAAGATGGCTCCAACCCTTGGCGACGAAGTGGTGAGTGAAGTATTCAAAGCAGTCGGACATACTGCCGCTTCCAAGTTTGCCACCGCAGACGCGAAAGCCAAATCATCAGCACAACCTTCACAGAAACCTGAAGGCACTGGTTCCGCATCATCCTCATCGGCCAGCGCACCAAAGGCTAAGGCTATGCCGAAATCCCATGAACCATCAAAGGCACCGCCTGCGAAGCCCTCATCGCCGAAAGCTGCTCCGAAACGTGCGGCAGGATGGGAGAAATCTCAAACAACACCTCAATGGAAGAAAGTCCGCCGTGAGCAGTGAACCCATTACCTCTGTCCGTCAAAATGATCACTGAACTATAAGATGTGTATCGTCTTTGTAAACAGATGATCAGGAAAAGATCAACTGAGTGGACTCTGAGCGAGGCAGTAGACTAATTCGCTTAGGTTCAAGACTTTTGATATTCCCAATCTGCATGAGATTCTGCACAGTGCACGTGAATTCGTTAGTTAGCATCGTAAATCTTTGGTAGCGAAGCGATCCATTTCTCCCGACGGGTGAGTGGTATGCCTAGCCAACGTAGAAAAGTAGGTGTTAGCTAGCAATAATTCGCGTTGTACAGCTTGATGAAACGCCGATGCATCGACAGCCAGAGAGTGGGCGAACCCGGAACCATTATTCCCGTCGGGTATGTGGGGAAGGGGGAGCCGAATGGCATGTTTTATGTACATAGGCGTAATTCAGGTAGCAGAGACATTCTAATTCAAAGTTCCCTCTCTCGTGTCCGTGGTTCGAAGAATACCACGGGCATGGGGGGTGTCAAAGGGAACCAGGCGCTAGGTGCATGTCTCATATGCACACATCATTACATTACAAACGCCCATTGTGGCTCAAGCGCCCGCTGAAAGGAAAATGATCGCGTGATGCTCGCTATGCTTTGCTAGGGTTCGGCGGCCCCCAGCACTAAGGTACCACCAATCAACGATATCCAGAACAAGGATCCATTTGTTCACATATATATATATATATACATTTTTACCATTACACATATGTAATATGTATTCTATATTATACTATATTTCACTTTGCTTCGTACAATATAGTTGGATGACCTGATGTGTAAATATAGTTTGCTTGACTTTGTTTGATATGTAAAGTATAGATTAGATGTGTTTGTATCGTTCATTTTTATCTTGATATAATATGATATAGTATGTACATGTATGATATATATATATATATATTTGTAAAGAGTATAGTTGTAGATTGTGTACAGTGATACAAGTATACAAACATAAATATGTCTAGTCATATTCTTTGTCCCCTTGCTTTGGAATTTCGGTTGCAAGCAGAGCGGAAGCAGCTGGCCGTGTAGGCCATGACAGAGCGTGCGCGACGCCTTTGGGAAAGCGGCGTGGATGATGACGATGAGGATGAGGTGCCTTGCCGAAGACTAACTTGATCCGAAAAGAGACATGTGTGATGTTTCACAGTCTTTCATGTCTGGACAAGAGGAGTGCCTTCTGCCTCATGCTCATGTGATTAGTTGTGAAATGAAGAGATAAATTATTCGGTAAAACTTTCTTGTCCAACACTTCGCGTTGACTGCAGGATGTCCCAGTCTCCGGCACATCGGTTCCACTCTTGGCAACGCCTGGGAGGCATTGTGCCAGCATGTGCATAGCCATTCATAGGTATTCACAGCAGCTGAAAACCCATGCCAGAATGATGCTATTGAAAGGAATGGAGTTGAGTGAGATGAGCGGAGATGAGTTGAGATGGAGTCAGTGGATGTCAGTGGGTGTCAGTGGCAGTGATTTTGCGGCTCTGAGATGCTCTGACAACCTTGGGCAGGTTCCGTTATCGCACCAAAGGCGCCTTCCATGATCCTTGGGCATCGTTACCACCTCGCAGGAGTAGATTGGGCCTCAGCTTATCAGCTTCAATGGTTGCAAACGGGTTGAGAAAGAAATAGAAAGAAATTCCAGAAACCTAGTGAAACGCATTAGAGTATCATGTATTGCCTATGATGGCTAAACACTGGAAGCAATGCTTTAACATCTTTTAACATGCTTGAGTAATTAAAGGGCTGCCGCCCCCTGCCGCTGACCCTGGGTCACATGGGCGAAGCGTTTCATGTGAGGACCTGTGTCATTGGGTCACATGTATACTTACCGGGATTTATGTCCTTGAATCATATGCAAGAGTCCAAACAGGGTGCAGCGTGCCCACCCGCAATCAGTCCCAAAACAAATGCAAGGCCCGTCTATGAATACACATGACCATTTTGCAACGACACTGCGCGCAACAAACTATATAGCCCAAATGCAGCTTTCAAGCATCCAAAACGTTGCCTTCGCCACACCAAAACCCAATGCGTCTGCTTCCCTCTCTCTGGATCTTGCAGTTTGCTCGCATTGGCTGGTTGCAATGTCTTCTCTGACGCGCTCCCCCTTGCCGTCGGCGGGGTCGGCGGATATGCTTCAACATGCTTCACTTTTTGGGAGCTTTTAATTCAGTGTCTGACATATGACACTGTGAATCGCCATGACACCATGACGGTATCCATGAGAGATCCGTTCGGATTCGAAGGTCCCAGCCGCTCGAAGCTGCCGCCACCGCCATCGCAGCCGCCGCCGTAGGTCCGAAGCCTCAGACGTCGGATGTCGTAGCTCAGAGACGTTGCCTCGACGTTGCCTCGACGTTTGTCATGTTGTGTGACTGTTCAGATTGCCAGGCAAGATGAACTCGACAAAGTGCTGATTTGAATACGACCCATTGAGACCCGGTGTCGAAGAATGGCACCTTCCAAATGCATAGGGATGTGTTGGAAGGTTCCATATAATAAGTATTTAGATATGTCTAGGCAGGAAGATGGAGAGATTTAGTATTCACTCTTCTTTATTTTTTGGTCCTCAAACTTGAAACATAATCATGCACATGGAAATCCAACCTTTAAACATACTAAAACTACAGTGTATAAAGTCAATCAAAGTTGAGGACCTTGAATTCTGACCTCCTTGCTTCGTTTAATATCGTTTGGGTGCAAGTTATGGTGTCAATGCTGGCTGGGACTGAATCTGAAAGTTCAATGCACAGTAGGTGTTGCCAGAGGTCATCACATCACTGGTGGATTCGCTGAGTGACATGAAGTGACATGAAGTGACATGAAGTGACATGAACGCACGTGGCATTTCACATCAGTTCACAAATTCCGGGTGTTCTTCTGCTCTGTTTACAGATTTCATGGTTTACCCGAGTTTACCCGATGGTTTTCGCTTTCAAAGCCACCAGTGAGTCGTGAAGAGTCGGACTTCTTAGTGAGGCGTGTCCTGTTGATTTGAAAGCGAGCAATGAGGCAATTCTTTGGCAGAGTCGAAGATCTATCAGAGTCTAGCATTCTTTCATATTTTCTATCACTCTTTATCAATGCTAGTCCAAAGCTTGCTATGTCTTGAGAATGTGTCCAGTGATGTCCAAATTCCCCTTCAATTTTTGTTTGTTTCTGCTTTCGAATCCAGAGGTGAACCGAGTTGCGAAACTTCTGCTTCGTAGCTTCACAACTGTCAGTGTCAGAGTTGGTGTCACTTCGAAGACTTTACAAACATCCCTGAGATCTCCCCTGGAGCGAAAGATCTGTAGAAAAAATCGGAAGCGACACTACTTTTAGTAGTAGCTGCTGTAGCTCATCCTGAGCCAAAAGGCCAATGTACAATGCCGCCAGGCATCCGCCAGGCAAAATGAGCCAGGCTGACATGGCTTAAAACGGAAAAAGAACCTGGCAAGATTTTGTGACCCAGGATTTTGTTGGCGTCTTCTGTTACTCTGTTTGATAGTATCAGCATGTATCAGCTGTATGAGCTATGAAGATAGGGCAAGGGATCCTTTCAGAATCCTTTGAGCCAGTATCCCCGCGGCAAAGGCTTTGAAGAGCCGTATCCGGCAGAGGAACTGAAGGAGAAACGGGAGCACCGTATGAAGTTTATAGAGATATATCACGATTATTATAAACATTTACAAACATATATCCTAATTGCTGATCAAAATCAATATGTCAAAATCTAAGAGACGTGCCAGTCCGCCGATCACAGAAGCATACTGGAAACATTTACGAACCCTTCGCAGCCCATCAAGGCTTGGAATTTTGGAATAGTGGCTGGCTTTCGTAAACTCGAGGAAAAAACGGCCGGAAGCTTTCCGGGCCTGCTGCATCGCCAGCTTCTCCTACATGTTTGTCCCAAAAGCAAAGAAAAAGGATCGTTTGATAAAGCGTGGCAAAGTGTGATAAACATGCTGCTAAGATCTGGTGAGCTCATAGCTGATAGCCCATGCCCTCTGAATGGATTTGTTCCTCTTCCAACACATCTTTCCTATTCTTTCCTCTTTGTTCCATTTTGTTCCTTTCCTGCTCGATCCTGATCGTACTTTTCCAGGAGGTGCCACAGCTACCAACTCCAGTTGAGAGCACAAGTTCACGAAGGCAGCCGATGCTTCAAATTGGTCAAAGAAATCACATCATATTTTTTAAAATTAACACATCATATAATACATCACACATAATAATACATATATATATATATACACTTGTATGCAACGATATACATACATATCATAATTCATAAAATTTTATATAGTTATATACATATATACAGCATATACGAAGGATACTGAACGTATTACCTGCGACGCTTCCAGTGAGTTCACTCTGACCTGACCTTGTTTAGTCAAAGCAGAGCTAAATGTAGTCAATGGTTGAAGCAGCTCTTGTATTTTTGAGAACGCAGTCGTGCAATAATCCCTGGCGCTATATAGTCCTTTGGTGGTTCTAGTACCCCATTGGTACATACATGTACATACTATTGTGAGTACAAGGGTTACAACATTTTACAACTTACAGTGACGCGACCGGAGAAACAAATTCGCAGGAAAACCATGGTGGGCGTCCCTGGAGAAGTCCGGGAAGTTCTGTCCAAAGATGCCAAGGACAAGCTTTGGCGCATGCTGAAACGGTCGCAGAAGTCTTGCTGCAAGAGTCTTGCCATTTGAAGCCGTACTGTAGTAGACTTAGGAATCAGTAGACATGCATTCGGGTTTTTTGGACATTATGTACTGTAGGAGATGCTCCCCCATTTAGAAATAAAGGAGTTCTTCTGAAAAGACTGGGCTCAAAGATACCTCAATGTTCACTCTGACAGGTGATTTCTACTGTGTTGTACCTGTTCACTGCCTCATTTCAAGACCATGCCCCCATTCCTTAGCATGTTCAACCCAGATGAATTTGTATGGGAAACAGGCGGCATAGCTTCACTTGACCAGTCCCATTTGCTACTTTCTGTATGACTCCATCTTTGCACGTCTACAGTTGTAATAGGCGCTATTCCAACATATTCCAACAGCCGCTGTAGGCACCGTAGGCACTGTAGCCACTGGTTTTGTGGCAGATGTGACAGGACAAGTTGGTGGCAATGGTCACACCGGTGCCTTCTGCGGTGACGGTCGCTTCCGCAGTTACAGTCGCTTCCGTGGCTTCCGTGGCTTCTGTGGCTACGGTGTCCCCTCCTGAGGCCATGTGGCCACCATGGGTAAGAGATGGTAAGAGATGGTAAGAGATGGTAAGGGTCAGAACTTGGAGCACTTAGATACCTCAAAACGGAATTAGTTCAACATAGTTCAACAATTGCCAGAAATCACTAAAATCAGAGGCCCTCTTTTGACCCGCAGGTATATAGGTATGCATCCGAATATCCACGCAGACGGGAATTGAGCTACATAAAGCCGAACAGTTTGGAGAGATCATTTTGTATGGTCGGTATGTGTTTGTTGATCTTTGGTCCAATTCGAACCAATGCTTTGTTCTTGTGCATACTGTATTGAAAATAGCAACTAGCATGAAGCGATGTCTTATCCATGAGAGCAAGTTTTTGAAGCAATTGGAGATGAGAGGGTGATTCTCAGTAGACCAATATTTTGAATATAAGTTAAGTGATGTTAAGTGTAAACAAGCCTTTGGGGACAGGTGATCCTCTTTTCTGTATTTTCAGGGGCCGCGGATTGAAGCGAGAAGCAACGAAGAGAGCCAGGCTGGTGATTTGCCGGTGTACAGCAGGGACATGCAGAGATGAAGATGCCAGCTGTAACAACTGAACCATTGACGAGCTATTACTACAATTGACACGCGTTGAGTTGCTGCACCTCTGAAAAAACAACACGCACAGCGATTCAGTTCCCTTCTAGGCCTACTCTTCCCTCAATTCTTGCAACACTTCATTTGGGATGTTCCGCTTGAAGCTGGTCTTGTCTCCTCCAAATGGGGACCAACAGGTTAAAAGTGCGCCATTGTTATATATAGATATATAAATAATGATATGATATTATAGTGTTCCGTATGTGCATCTTCATTGCCCAATGGATTGCAATGGTGTCTTTTGAGAGCATTTGTGGCGAGTTGCTCATCTGTGTGGCCGAGGTGAGCCGCTTGGAACCACAGAGATTTGTGCCTGATCCGTTGCCAACAGAGGCCCTTTGCACCCTTTGGGCTCTGATCACAATCCGCAAAGCGATGCCAAAAGCAAGTCTCCCAAAGTTTAAATGATTGCAAACTGTAGATGTAACATCCTGTAACCGCTACAACCTGTGACATGTATTTCTTTAAATTGACAATTTGGACCAGTTGTAAAAATGATGTAAATAGTTTTTAAATAGTTGTGTAAATAGTTGTAAGTTTGGTAGCGAATTGTAGCGATGTTTGGCGCACGTGCCGTGGCAGAAGCCGCAAAGTCCAGAGCGGCACCTGGAAGAGTTCCAGGCGCGTTCCGGGCGCAAGGGACGGAAGCCTACGATGCTCGACGCTACGAGGGATGTCAGTGATGTCAAACTGATGTCAAACTGACAAACAACGACGCATAAAATTTGCTAAAAAACCAACGACGAGTGCGCTACGAGTGCTACGAGTGCTACGAGCGATGTGACAAAATGATGAAATTTATCAAGGCAAGTGCCACGAGTCCTTCAAAAGAATCTCCAAAGCGATCCAGGATGAAGAGCTCGGGCACTCGATCCAAAACTCTTCAGACACTGGGGTTTTGTCCGTTGCCCTTGGAAGAACACTGCAGTCCTGGAGAGACTCTATAGATATTCAACAAGCCAAAGAAGCCACATGTTTGAGACCGTATCAAGAGTTTAGAGAATGACATCTTGAGATTGGCATAGCGGCTTTTTTGCAAGTTTCTGAACTGAGATCTTCTGATCAAAGCTTCATTTGAGGTCGGTCGCGATCGACTTCTTTCAACGACGTGCAGGGCCCGGCCAATCCACAGACATTTTGCGCCCGAGCGCAAATGTCAGATGTGTTTATTTCAAGATTCTGTCTTCATCAATCTCCGTCATGCATTGTCGGTGGGTCTTTTGTTCTATCCAAGCACACTTGAGTGCAAAGCGGTGGTCAGCTGGTCAGATGCATGTTGCTCTCTGAGATTTTTTTCAGATAGATGGCTCCCTTGCCTGCAAACTGCAGTAGATGTAAGCAAAGACAGCCGATCCATGCACTTGCCAATTTGATCCATGTGCTTTGCTGAATCCTGTTGCTCAAGTAGGACCATGCCGTTGTGAAGTTACTTATCTTGTCCTCTTTCTCATTTTATCTAATTACATGATATGATATATTATGATATTTATATATTTATCATATCATATCCTATCATATTCTATCTTATGTATTTTGGCAGAGGTGATGGCCACGGCATGGCCATGGCATGGCCAGTGCTTCTCGTGTGTGCTGTGTGTATCTCAGCCGTGTCTCAGGCTGAGGAGAAGCGCGGGATCCGGGCAGATGGCTTGCAAGAACTTCTGCAGGAGCTTACGACAGAAATCTGGAGATATCTGGAGACATCTGGAGACATCTGGAGATGGAAATTACGGAAAAAAGAACGCAAATGAACGGAAACGAATGGAAATGACGGCTACTCCCAGAGTATGGACTTGAAAGACTTAAATATCTTATATGGCGATTTGGCAATCAAAAGACTTCTCTCCGAGCACTTTGAAATACTCCAAGTCACACTCCAAAACATTCTAAAATCACAACTGTACACCCCTCGACCGAACCTTCCTTGATCTTGGACGTGCGTTGGATGCAGGAAGTCTATGACAAGTTCAGGCGCTGCTCTGTTTGACACCCAGCTTGTGGTAACACAGCGTTGTAGAAAGTTGTAGAAGCTGAAGGGCGAATTATGCAAACTGTTTCCAAGTTTTGAATGAGAAGGCCAAGTTTTTACAGGTGCATAGGTAAAAACAACAGGCAGGTGTTACAGGTGCTCAGCCACCAAAAGATGTTGGAAAAACATGTTGGCTAAGGCGCAGTTGCGAGAAGCGGATCTGCACCGGGGCAAAATCCAGGCTCCATAGCTTGACAAAGTCGTGTGTTGTTCGTCTGCGAGAGACACAACACTTCTTGAGTGCATTTAGTTCGGGGCTTGGGCATGAACCTAGGGGATGAACTTAGTGGATTGATATGGATTGATATGGGTTGATGTTCATCGCATCCGCCAATCGAATCCGGTCGGTGTGCCAGGCTCCTGGTTCCAACGCAGGCGCAGGCCGCGCTGGCGACAGATTCAGATGTATTCAGAACGTATCCAGAAAGCTAGAAAGCTGGTCACATCCTTTTGCACCTGTACAGTAGCCAGAAGGATTTGATGGGACAACAGTATGTATTTGGTATTGTATGTGTGAAACATCTCAATAGATGTAAAACTTGTACCCTGATATATCTTAGTTGCAGGGGAGCGGTGGGCATTCTTGGAGTCACCACTCAACGAAGACACTCCAAGTTTGCTGTGATATGCAATCTGGACGCAGATTGCACGTGCCTGCGCTCGTTTTAGCAACCGGCTAAGCTCAGAACCGGCAAGACGATTTGTTTTTCCACTTCATGTCTGCACTGTTGGCGCAACGAATTTCAACGAGGATCACATCTGGATACTTTTGATGTTAAGCTTATGGACGGATGAGGGTGACAAATTTGGACTTCATTCTTCACTGTTGGCGCAACTCAAGACTGTGGTTTTGTGGAGCTCCATGTCTATTTATTTCCTCTTGGATATGACGATGATGGCCTTCCACCTCTGGAGTTTCCAACTTTCTTTCCTGACAAGTGTAATGAACTAGTTTTTTGCACGCCCGATGCATTCCACATCACAATTCGATAAGGCAGTTCTGAGCAAGTGTGTGGCTTTGGTGGCACAAACACCCACAAGATTGTGTCCATGCCGTCCGAGCAAGATTGCAATCACTTTGAGCAGCCTTCATCTTCTTTCATCACCATCTTCAAGAAATGTGGCCCTGTCCACAGCTGCGTCAGGTGCAGAGGACACTGACCTGGCTGATACATGGCATGCCTGGCATGTTACCAGACGCAAAACGCATGCATTGCTGTTAGAGAGGCATGGCCTCCGGCAGAAGGAGGATTCAAAAGAAGATTCGTGACGGAAATGCAACACACAGGTTTTAGAGGGTTGACAAGTGAGCTGCCTGCAATGCACATAACAGTGCCATAAAATGTAGAGCGTTGTGACACAACTCTACTTTTCCTACAGAACACCAGGATCCCTTTTTCTGTGCTGACTTCTGTAGACTTTCCACATTTTGAGACCAACTGATTCCGAGGCAAGAAGTGGAGTGGTTACGACAGGCAGTAGAGCGGATCTTAGACTTGGCTGTTGATGAGCGAGTCTGCACGACCTCTGCTGTCGTTCGCCCAAGACGCGAAAAGGAGTAAGTATTCAGCCTGGACATCGTAGATCAATGCCGCATTCAAGTACAGACCCATTCAAGCAAAGGAGCTTGCAGTTTTTCTGTCTTCTACTCAAGAGAATTAGATGATATTAGATGCAACTATTATTTTGTCTTCGCAGCAAATGCTATGGTCTCTGCCGCTGCGGGGTCGAAAGGGTGCCAAGGAATTCGCAAGATGGTGTATTACTGACTTTACTGATAGCATCTGATAGCTAACCTCTTCAGCACCCCAAGACTTGGGTAAGCTACGGCTTGAGATTTGTCGGTCACATGTCAGGCTTAAAGGCAAGTTTTTCTGGGAACCGCTGACTTTGAGGTGGGCATGCACAGCCACCTTTTGCTTGCGCAGAAGCGGCAGAATGCACTGGCCTTAATTCAACTCATCTGTTCTTCCGTCATTCGATGTCTGCGAATTGACATACAGAAGCGAAGCAGCCAGTGAACAGCTGAGCAAGGTCTGAACAAGAGATTGTTATACCATGGTTCTGCCTATTACAGCTTGAAGCAAACTGGGTTTCTGTTGAACCTCCAAAACTGCCAGGGTAAACACACGTTTTTGAAGCTGCTCACCTTGTGGCTATCCGATATCTCTGCTATCAGGTCTTAGAGAAGAGATGCAAAGATTTTCAAGACAAGATCTCCGAAATTCGTTCACAAACAGGTGGGCATCAAAGCTTCAGGAGACACGGTGTCATCAGTTTCTGATCACTTTCTCCTTATGTTTCTAAAACTGCACATTTCCTATTTTTTCAGCTCAACTCCAAGTATATAACTCCAGTCACCTTTAGAATGGCAATGATTGAGTTTGCCTATGCCTTTCGTGCTCAGGGCCTGCACCTGACAGCACACTCTTGGCTCCACCACGGTCAGAGAAAGAGGATGCTGGGCAGCCAGAAATGCACGGCATGTTCAGCCCATGTTCAGCCCTGTATCATCCTGTATCTGTAGAGACACGACGACTGTATCATTTTCTGGTGGATTTTCCTTTTTGCAGGTTTGGAGTTCAACATTGTACACGCTGATTTTGTGAGGGGCATGTTCCAGTGACGTGTAGCATTTTTCTGTTTTTAGCATTGTTGTCACATGATAGTTTCTCACAGCCGGTGGACATGATTTTCTCCGCGTTTCGGATCTGTTCAGATTTCCTTGTCGTGGATTATCTGGGAATTCTCGAGGAGAAGCCACGGGCAGTCTACGCTCCCCATGTTGCAAACGTTGCAAACGTTGCCAACGTTGCCAACCTTGCCAACGTTGCTGTTGCTAACGTGGCTTGCAACTCCACTCCACGTGGACGAGGGTCGGGTGCCCAAGGAACTCTTCTAGTTTATATTGTTTTCCACGATCTATGGATATCTATATGATATCAATGATATCTATGCATATTATGCACATGAAGATATAGGACCACCAACACACAAGACAAGCATGGCAGATGTGATCTAAGAATGAACGTGATCCTTGGTGTTCGATGGTTGATCATTTGGATATACCGCAGTCAGCATGGTTCAAACTGGACGTTATAGGCTTCAATTTCGTCAAATCCACATGTCATGCAACATGCTTGCAACAATGCATGTGGCAGCAGGCCAAGATACAAAGAAAGGACCAATATAGCACTTCGATCCGTGGTTCAAAGCAAGAATTTGGGTGGGGAAGGGACACGCCTGAAGTGAGGCAGAAAGTGATGATCTCAGTCCAAGCATGTCCAAGTAGCAGCAAGATCGATGTGTAATATGCATTATTGCTACTTAATGCATCTTAATGCTACGATTGTTTCAACTATACAAGAATTAAACAAGTGTATACTACAACATATACAAATATAAAATGTATACATATACACATTTCACATATAATATATATATATATGCGCATATCATGTTATATTATACATGCATCACTGTGTTGGGTCCTGACGCCTCCGGAAATTCCGTCCTGGGCCAGGCCAGTGACCACCTATGTGCACCCTCCAGCACAAATTCGCGCAGCATCAGCTCCACAGGCCACGAGACGAGTGAGGTGAATAGGGCTCGAAATGTCATGAATAGACTTAATAAACGTGAAAAAAAGTGAAATGTCAAGGTTGCATGATCAGAACATATGAGACAACGTGAGGATCGTTCGGAGGTATCGACAATCTAAGGAGCAACAAGCCGATGTTTTTTTTGAGGGAGTTGTGATACCAGCAGAAAGATTGAAAGGGTCTACAATATCCGCAGCGCGCAAAGTTTTGCACGCACAAAGTTTTGGCAGGTTGGCCTTGGAAGAGTTGCAATGCCCAGAGCTTGGAAGATTTCTTGGAAGATTTCATGGAAGATTTGGAGGCTTCGCTTGGACTTGAGAAGTCGGCAGCGCGAGAGCATGAACTGAGCGGTGCCACCAGCAACCTGAGCCCGGTAGAAACATATGCAGATTCAGTACAGATAGGTAAAAATATAATAATGCGTCCTACCTCAAATAATTATTTTGGGGTGAAACCTGGTTCTGGATTATTTTTTCAAAATAATGTACTTTTTTTTTCCATAATGTTGATGCTAACATCAGCTAGCAAGAATCATAGCAAAATAATTTATGGACCCGTAACCTCCTGATGAGGCAACATAATTTTCCTCTACAGAAGTTGAAGCACCTTGAAGTAGTTTTAGATAATTGACTGAAGGCACCCCAAAATAATTTCTCAGTTGGACAGGGGAAATTATTTCACAGAGTTCCAACTGTATAGAATAATTGTCAGACACCCAGCATGAAAATTATTTCATGGAGCGGGGGTACTTGCATTCCACCAGCAAAATAATTTCAGCATATTTCAACACCAAGACGATAGGACAAGCATGGACAGCATGAAAAGTCCACAATTCTCAGGGTGCCCCGACAGCACCACCACTCCCACAACGATTTATTTCCTGGTTTGGTCTGGTGGCACCCCCCCACCCCCAAAATAATTTATAGGAGAGAGAGGGGTCGATTCAGATTTCTTTGTCCAAACGTCGATATAAGTGGTTCAGTAGTGCCACCGCCCCCAAAATAATTAGGTTCTCATGGTTTGATTCTTTGAGGGTCTTTGAGACAGCTTGGGTCAATTTGGATCAATTTGGCATTTTTTGACCTATTCCAGGGAAAGTTGAGTTTTGCCAGGTTAGGTTAATTGGTTTCCCGGGGTGGTCTAGTAGTACCCCCACCCCCAAAATAATTTATTGGGGAGAAAGGGGCCGATTCAGATTTCTTTGCCCAAAAGTCGATGTTCTAAATAATAGGTGGTTCAGTGGGTAATTCATGGTAATTCTCAGGGTTTGACTCTTTGAGACAGTTTGGGTCAATTTGGATCAATTTGGCATTTTTTGATCTATTCCAGGGGAAGTTGAGTTTTGCCAGGTTAGGTAAATTGTTTTCCCGGGGTGGTCTAGTAGTACCCCCACCCCCAAAATATTTGCCTGGTGTTTTAAAACGGGGGCGGCTTAGAGATGATTTATTTGATTTGTGGTGCCGCCACCTCCTTTGTTTTTTTTTTCCACGCTTGAGCGGCTGCCCTGCCAGGCGGCATCAGACGGCATTAGATTTTGCTGGTTATTATTTTGAAGTGGCACGGTTGTTTTTTTCAATCATCCGTCACCATCTTCCACCACCTCAAAATAATTAAGAAACATATGTTGAGGCAAGGGAACAGTTTTGAGAGTAATAGTGGAACCACCAAACAATTTGTTTTCAACCTGTTAGGAACTATTTTGAGGGGGGTGGATAGCTTGAAAGAAAATTATTTTGGGTGGGTTATGGTGTTTATGAACATATTATTTTGGAGTGTCTCCTAGCTACAAACACCTCTGATTCATTTTTTTTGAAGTGGCACCTAGTATTTTTGCATAAGGTAGCCCGCATTATAATTAGGTACGCACACATATATATATATATATATATATAATTTTGCTACATTCATAGTGCATGCCTTCAAACTGGCAGAAACGAACAGAGTGTGACTCGCCCTGACGTTGTCGAACATCGAGACTATCAAGATTGACTAAGACTGCTTGCACACTTCCAGAGCATCCCAGTGCCCGAAATGTTTCCAAAACGATTGATCGAAACAAATTTTGGGAATCGCCCCATTTGATATTGATCCAATTGATGTTCTCCATGCTGAGGCCTAAAGGCTATGCCTCTGAAGTGTGTTTGCCATCCCCGCGCCAGGCTGACATATGGGCGGTGGAAACATCATGAAACATAACCAAAGACCGCGTGGAAAACATTATATCTTAAACATGGTTTGCTTGTTCCCTTACAATGTGCCTAGAAGATCTTAGAAGATTATGCAATTTCATGCATTTTCACAAATTCGACAGAGTCTGACATTGAGTCACTGCCTACTATGCATTACTATGCTTCCAATCCGTCGTTCTTCCTTGAGAACTCTTTACTGGTTTGTCAACTTTTGTCGTCCGAACTTTGTTGTGAACACTTGGTCAAGGTGGGTGGAGGTGGAGGTGGGCGTTCACCTCCGCAGTGGTGTCGCAGGTCTTCCAAGAGTCTCCAGCTTTGCGAAGACAGGCCTGGTACAGAAATGTACAGAATGATACAGAAAGGGAGGCTGGATGCCCCCTTACAAAGGCAGAGGAACTGAGAAATACTCAGGTACTGCGTGCATTTTTCCTGGTGTTACATTTCATTTTGTAAAGTTATACAAGTTATTGAGATAACAACACTTAACAACCAAGAATGTACGGAATGTATGAGATGGTGCAACAGAAGGGTTTGACAGGTTGGCAGTATTTTTCAGTACTGTATTTGGGTTCCGTGGAGAGAGTGTGTGAAGGATTGTCGATATTGTCGTTCCCACTGCACATTTTTGCTCTCTAGGGACCTCAAGCCTTCGTTCCGGTGCATTCAGTCCCTCTGGCCTGCTTTGGGGAAGGGAGAGATCGGAGAGATCGGAGAGATCGGAGAGAATGGTAATTTCAGCAACTTCTTGTGTCACACTGCTCTAGAAATGCTGTGTCACAGTGACCAAACATTCATTCAGTTCATCCAAGGCTTGTTTTCATTCCAGGCATCACCCGGGAAATTGCCAGGGCCTCGATGTTTTTAATGCTCCATAATTTCAGAGGACAGGAAAAAACACTCTCCCCTTTGAAAGTTTAGGGCCTAGTTTAGGGTGAAGTTTCCACATCAACTTTTGGTACAGTCCTAATGATGATATTGAATAGATTCAACAGGAATAGTTACGTCATTTTGATAGAAATTGTTCTTTGACATCCATGGCAGCCTGAAACACTCTGAAACAACCGAAGTCGAAACAGTCGAAACAGTCAAAACAGTCAAAACAAACAAACATGTCTTTTCATGTTCAGATATGTTCAGATACCGCAAAGACTGGCTCTGCTTTTGAACACTGCACCTTGAAGGGTACCGTTCTCGACCCAAGGCCCTTAACTTCTCGGATACAAATTGCGTCCATGGAGGCACCCCTGGGCGACTCAATGTGATTCAATGTGATTCAATGTGATTCAATGTGATTCAACCCGACTAGTCCAACACTCGCAACACTATTGGATTTGTTTGATTTCGTCTCTAAATTTTTGCATCCAAATTTGTTGTTTCACTTGTCTCTTAGAGGGCTTTACCACTCTTGGTCAAAAAGTCTCCGCACGATCGAAATGGAATGGGAGGCTGTGCTGGGTGCGGAAAAATCCAGTGCAAACATGTGCAAACATTTGTTTTGGCATGGCTAGACATGTTTTTTTTCTATGGCGCAAAGGGACCCCCTATCAAAGATATACTGAAAGGATGACAACCAGCCCTGACAAGGTACGAGTCAAGTCAACCCATGCTAAGAAACGAGAGTCTCGCAGGAGTTTCGCAATCGTTTTCAATGTCAGTGCTGGTTCAAAGATCAAACCGGCTGTGGCATTTCAGTGAGACAAGATGAGACAAGATACAAAAACCATGACAAAACTCGTGACCAATCATGACCAAACTGTGTCATTCCCATGTTCTTTGCTGATGACTGGCTGATGACATCTGATAGATTTGATGATTTTGATGACCATGACGGCCAGGGAAGCCCGGTCTTCATGCCCTCGCCGCAGAGTGCTTCTCACGCTTCTCCAGCACAAGGGGTTAGGCCGGAGCTGGTAGAGCTGTCACGGATGCATTGATGATTGAGTCACTTGAGTCACTTGAGGTACTGAATCTTGTTCATCCCGAGTTTTGTAGAGGGTGAACAATTTGGGTCAAGATATCACTTTGAGCTTCATTGTAGGATACCAACATCTTTGCCTCGGGTTGAAAGAGTCATTGACTTTCCTGACTCAACTTGTCACTCATTGCATTTGTCTTTACCTTCACCGATCTTTACTTCCAGTTCTATTCCACATTCTTTCCTCATTGCATTTGTTCTTTCATTGTTCTTTCCACATTGACTTTCCACATTGACTTTCCATCTGCCATTGCCTGCAGGGCCTGGTTGTCCTCTCCGATGCCTTCCATTTCGGCACCCGTCACACCAGTGAGAACTCCCGTTCCGACGCCGCTGGCATCGCCTGCACCCACGCCTCCGGTGCCAGGACCAGGCCTCGATCGAATTTCGAATGTCGTCCTATATCATTATCGACAATTTATATTATGTAATATCCTATTATAGACAATTATATAGATATTATATGATATTATAGACTCATATAGATTATTACAGATTCATTCATATTATATGATATTACATAAACATAAATAAAAAAGAAAAATCAAAGTATGACATAGACACACAGTATGATGAAGATCTTGTTGTTTCTCTCGCTGTTTCTTTGAGTTTGTTCATTTTTTGTTTTCTCAAGGCACAGGCAACTGCCAAGAGTTCACACAGCAAATTCCAATGTGTTTGTCATGCACCTTTTGCTTGGAGTGCCCTGCATGTGAGATGTTGAGCTGCTCAAGATGATGGTTGAGCGCCTGTTGGATATGTGTAAGAAGCCAATCTTTACCTATCTTCACCAACTTGACTGTCGCCCTTCCGTTGTGCCACACACGAGCAAGATATGAGATCAGCCTTTGCGATTAGGTACGTACAAGACGCGCGAATATATGAATTAATCGGTTCCACAAATAGGTTCCATGAGTAGACCAAGTATACTATAGTATACTCAATACATTTCAGTACCATGAATTGTGTGTATTGTTTTTTACTTTAATCATTCTTTAATCTTCTTTAATCTATAAGTATCTTGATATATTTTGATGTAGGTCTCCATGCAGCGTGCTCGTCCCTCTCGGTATGCGATCGGCGGTGCTGGATGAAGCCACTGCCTTGCAGTGGCGTTCACGACGGCTGTCGCATATTCTACGAGCTTGGAAGGACCGGAGCGTGGAAACATGTGGAAACCAGGCAGATCTATGCAGATCTATGCAGATCTCACAACAAAACATGGAAAACATGGAAAACATGGAGTCAGGGGGCCTTTCCGAAGGGAACTTGAATTTGGTGGGCCACTGCATCCTGGAATTAACAGGAGGTTGTGACCAAGTTGAGACGTTCACAGCCCAGCACCTTGGTTGCATTGACCAGAATTTGCTTGTGCGATGAGGCACAAACTGCAAAACCAAGCAACAGACAAGTCATGGCTTCAACCAGAACAACTGGTTGGTTCTGGCTCTTTGATGCTTGTTCTTGAGTATATTGAGTATATGTTCCCAAGGTCCCAAGGAATGTAAAGCCCAATTCTGCTTGTAAAGTTCTGAGGTTGCTCAAGAGTGCAAAGTCTACGCTCTGAGCGGTTTTTTGGTCAATGGCTAAAGAGCTACAGGCGTCTCAACAATTGGAAGGGGATGATGGGGGTGCAAGGATATATCACTAATTGTCACTATGTCAGTACCATTATAATCATTATATGTCATATTCGTAGGACAGAACACGGGTTGTTCATTAACAGTAGCAGGTCAAAAGCTACCTTGGCAGCTAATTTTTCGAGGTTGGACATTTGTTGTTAAAACATGACTCATGTGAAGACGAGATGATGTGTTCTTGACACCTTGACATCTTGACACCACCTTGCTGTTTTTTTAAACAGCACAATGAACAAACGTGTGACTTTCCATATCTCCCAATCTTTTCATTTTCAGGCTGTCAAAGTTTGCAGCCCGGCGTGCTGGTGAAACGCCCGAGCTTTGGCTGTGTGCCGCCTTTACAGCTCTCGGCAGCTACGCCCGGATGCGTCGGTACCTATAGATCTTGAAGCAATGCATGAAGCAATGCAGATCGTTACAACACACGTTGCAAGACACGTTCAAAATACTCAATGCATCGGCTTGGCTCCACCGATGAAACGAGTGGATTTTTCCCCTGTCTTGACAATATTTGACACTTCACACTATTTTTGCACGTATAGAGACTTGGATTGGCAGTCAATACTTTGCACACGTCGATTCAAGCTCGTAGCTGCATCAAATGTTGGATCCTAGCCCATGTCAGTTGACAAGACTTGTGCCATTCTGATTATGTTTCTTAAGATTACAAGTAATTACAAACAGTTGTTTTCATATGTTTTCATGCATGTCATGTGTTACTCATGTGTTACTCATGTGTTGATTTGTGATGTATTGGTGAGGTCGTGAGAAACAGCTTCAGCGCCGCAAAGCTCAGCGATGTCGTTGGCAGCTGTTGCTACGATTTGCCTCGCAAGGGCTCCGAAGAGGCATGGAAACTCGAGATTGAAAAACGCGCTTAGATTCAGATTAGGTTATTAGATGTTACTAGATTCATTAGATGATGATGGATGACGATACATGATTGATACGTACTGATATTTGTTGCAAGAACTATGTATTATAGCAATTCTCCGCGAGAAAAGGATGGAACAGCGGAATTCTGACCTGGGTCAAGCACTTCAGTTCTTTCAAATTCTTTTAGAGACCAAGGTAGACCAAGGTAGACCAAGGTAGACCAAGGTAGACCAAGGTAGACCAAGGTAGACCAAGGTAGACCAAGGTAGACCAAGGTAGACCAAGGTAGACCAAGTGCAAGCACTTTGGTCATTTTTAGTCCCCTGCGCCAGGAGTTGAGCGCGCGCGGTACTGCCGAACTGAAGCTGAACGCCGCTTCTCTTTGAAGGTCCCTAGAACAGTGCTGTGATCCTTCATTCTTTGAGCGTTTTTGCATTGCATTCCAGTTCTGTAACTGTAGAGTTATGCACTTTGAATGTTTTGATTGGATCAAATGCAATGGAGGCAAACAGGCAGGTGCAACTAGCTGGAACATGTGATTTTGTGCAACATGTTGAGACATGTTGAGAAATGTTGAGAGAGGGTACCCTTCAGTCCGAAGCGTGACCAGGCGCGGAGCTTGGAAGAGCAGCTTTTCTGCTTGTGGCAGAACCTGGTGGATTTCACTCGCAACGACAGAGCATCAGCTTTGCGAACACAGCATTTGCTGATGAAGGCGAGAAAATGCGAGAAATGTCCAAGTTACAGAAGCCTTTCTTGAAGATGTCGGAAGATTGTGAAGCCAAGCATGGATCCCCAGTGCTGTCCTATGCTGTCCTAGCAGGTCTCTGAGGCTTTAGCGAATTCCTTCTTGAAACAAACTCCGTGTGACAATTTGATACAATTTGTGACATGTGACATGATTGACATGTCAATGCATCTCAGACTGAGCTGATTTTGGAAGCTAGAAGCCCTCAGTCCCTGCAGACACGACAGGCATTTCAGGGCTTCAAGAGATATCGGCAAGATCGACTTGCAAAGGCCTCTGCCAACCACATAGCGAGGACACTTGTAGCACCCGTTCGTCTTTGTGGTTTACGGACACAAATGTCTGACTGGACGCAAATGTGTTATTGAGATTCATGAGATTTCTATTTCGGCCGAGCTACTGTGTTGAACTGGCCACAACTGAGAAACAGACATGGACATCATGTCTCAGGAGCTACAGACAAAAGAAGCTGACCACACACGGCCTGGTTTCCTTGCGCAGTCATGTGCAGCTAAGGCGGACATTGACAAACGAATTTCAGACACGCACGACTTCTCAGTTCAACCGTTCGGTGACTGTCTTGATGGAAACAATACGTGCAAGATGTTCATCGAGCCCAATTGAACACCACGCACTGAGCCTTGTGCTCTTTGTGTCAACCTTTCACAGGGCATTGACGTTGTTTTGTTTTGTTTTTCGGTTTTGTATCATGTTGTATCATGTCTTGTTTAATGTTTTGTATCTTGTGAAAGCTTGTCAAATCTATGCCAGGCAACAAGTTGCCATCCAACGGAGTACATTGCACCAACGGACACGGCTGCAGCAGTTGCAGAAATTCCTGGCGTGTTGGCACAGCTGGACCTCTCAGTGCTCGGAGCACATGAGGCCTCGAGAGACTGATCTGATCTGAGAAGGATCTGAGGGGTCACGGCTGGTCGACTCCTTGATACTCCTTGATAGTCCTTGATACTCCTTGGGTTGTGCTTCGTTGTGCTCCTCTGTCAAGTCGTCCACTACATAAGGTAGACATGGTGCTTTTTTTTCAAACATTAATTTTCTGGATATGAAGATGACATGTCTTTGGCTATTCTTAGGCTTGTTTTCCTTCGTCCGGTTTGGAGCACATTGCCAGGTTCATTGGAAGGGTGTCGTGAAGTGAAGTCTATATAATAGTCTACACATCTTCAACTATTCTGACTACTTATTACATCTTACATCATCTTACATCATCTTACATCATCTTACTATATCATATTGGTTCATATTGATTCATATTGATGCATGTTGTATCTCAAAGTTGAAGGACGATCTAAAGGAGATGCCAAGCTCAGCATCGCAGAGGCAGTGTGGGAAGATCGCAGGTGGTCATCGCGTCAGGTACCCCAGCAGCAACCAGCAGCAACTTGAGCATGGCATAGAGGGCATAGAGGGCATAGAGGGCATAGAGGGCATAGAGGGCATAGAGGGCATAGAGGGCATAGACGGCATAGACGGCATAGACGGCATAGATGTTATGGCAATGCACGCCTCTGTATTCCTTGAAGTTTCTGCGCCATGTTCCTGTCAGATGTCTGAATTGTGAGATTGTCAACAACGATATTAGGTTTTCAATCACATTTGGCACAGGAAATCTGATTTGAATCTTCAACAGCGAAACAACGCGTACAAAGCTAGCCGGCTTTTGTCGAACTTTGAGACTGCTTCGCTGAGGACACTGTGCAGCAATGCCTTTCAGCTTTGGTCTTTTCGGTGTCAGTGTGCGGGACATTGTCGACGAAGAGTCATTGATTTGGAAGCATCCTGCGCACAGCAGGCCTTCTGCAAAGTGACTCCTGCGGAAAACATCATGCCAAATTTCAGGCATTGCAGGCTTTATTCCATGTTTTACTCATTTGCATTAACACTTGATGCAAGTTGGCATGTGCCTGTATTATGAAGTCCAAGCCGCTAAGCTCACTTTGACACTGGGCCAGATCGGGTCAGACGGGTCAGGTTGTTCACGAGTGGCTCTTGCATTGGCGCACTGCTGTGACTCGGTGGAAAGGGAACGCTTTGCACGTTGCTCTGAAAAGATAAAGAGACCAACGCAAGACCTACCATCACTTTCAAAGGACTCTCCCAACACAGGACCAAGTACTTTCTTCTTGTCACAGGGACTGAAATCAACTCAACCTTGCATTATAATCATGGCTCGTTTTCTTGCTACTTTGCTGAAGATGGAATCTTCTCGCCCTGACCTTCAATGCTGCCAAGCGGCTATGGTACTGTTTCACTGTTCCCGCTGGAAGGTTGTCAGCTGGCGAGAGATTCAACGGAAAGATCGAAAGGCACGGATGGATTGCAAGATATTGCAAGCTTGACCATTCCGATTTGACAAGCTGCCTGAAGTTGGTCAAACATGTGACCATCCCGAGCAGCGCTATGGCTGCTATGACATGCCGGGGCAGCAAGTACAATATAGATCAAGATAGTTAGTACATATAGTACATATAATTAGTACATTAACCTCCTCTTCTTTTGGCATGTAGCACTGTGATACACCGTGCGCGTTCAGGCATAGGAGTGCCAGTCGCATGTCAGACTGTACTTGAAAATTACTATACAGATGATTACTGTAAGGCATATTGAGACAGAAAGAATGAAGAAAACATTCTAAGATGGTGACTACAGACACAGACTCTGATTTCACGGGGATGTTTCATGATGGTAGTACCTGATGGTTCATTGTTGGCAGGCCTTGGTGCAGTGGTACGTGGTGCTGATTTCATCGACACTAAAGGGCTGGCGCAACTGGTGCAACGATCGACGAGTCAAGAAGCAACGACAGGCCCAGTGGTTCGCAAAAACACCATTTAGACATATTTAAAACATATTTGGAACAAGTGGACTCAAGTGGAAACAGAAAAACGAAGGGATGCAAAGGTGTACGAAGACAGGCTCCTTTGCTCTCCTTAGTATATTTAAGGACACATATATTACATTATATGGACACATATATTATCATATATTATCATATATTATCATATATCAATGTGTAGGTATCTCTATATGCATACATCATAGTTGTTCTATAAGCATCCTGTGGCGTTTTGTATGTTTCGTCTCCGTAGGAGGAAGCGACACAGCTCTTTCTTGGTGCAGCGCGACGTTGGTCATTGGCAGCGCTGTTTCGCTGCCACGAGGAACGTCAGTCCTTTGCAGAACAGGACGGGCAACGCAGTAGCGAAAAGTAATGGTCCAAGATGGTGCATGTCTTCAATCGAAACCTGGACCCATTGCCTGGTCAATGACAAAATAAACGAACATATTGCAATCATTCCAGATATGTCATGATATATTTCATATTTCATGATATTTCTAGACCACGTGGACAAGGTCTGAAACATTTTGAAACTGTGAAATGCTAAGAACGCCTCAGTTTGAGGTGGCGGAGCAAGAGTGGGAGCTCTTGGCCCAAAAGCGAGCAACCCTGGCAGTGGCTGCAGCCAACCGCTGGCGCCAGAAGCTTTATTTAAGGCTCGGTGGTGGTCTGTTGGTAAAACTGCTGCACTATGCTGCACTATGCTGCACTATGCTGCACTGTACACAGCGGATCAAGGTCCAAATGGCCTTCATATGTTTGGCCCAGCTCCCAGCTGAAGAGGAAAGAAATGACTTGTGGATGCCAATCAGATTCAATCACTGCCAGTGGGCCAGGGCTTTGTCACGTCCTGGAAATTTGAAAGGGTTCACAGACTTGTTTTCAAACTCAGGAAAAAATACATGAAGGTAATGGAAACTGAAATTGATACGTCAATTTGTTGCCGAAACACATTGTTCCCCACTCTTCAAAGGTATTGAATCAAATTGACAGGATTTAGAGTTCAATTTCCAGCTTGAAGATTCCGCTGAGGTCACAAGAAGTTCCAGAAATGTCATTTGACCAGGCTGGGGTTGACCAGAGATAGAATGCAACATATGAAATATGGAACACGTGCCAAGAAGCTGAGATGCAAATGTGGCATTTTCATGCAGTCAAGTAAACTCATGTAAACGGAACCTTAAATTTGTCGTAGACTCATGTAGACTCTATGTTTGTACTTACTTGTATAATCTTGTATCCAGACTTGCGTTACTTGTAGTCCTTGTAGTCGTTGTAGTCGTTGTAGTTTTCGATACTTGTGCAGTCCACCTGAGGAGCTGCATCTTTCTCTGACGCCGAGTGAGGTCAATGACTGGCCCAGCCCGATTTGAGGCGCAGGTGTCGCTCCAATTTTTCGATCGTCAAATCGAGTCGAGCAAAAGCCTCGCCAATCGAAAAGGTCAGATGAGTCACATGACTTCCCAGCCGGAAAAAGCTGGGAAAAGCTGGGAAAAGCCATCGGCTTGCCTATGGCCTATGACTTGCTGTGTGGCTCGTGTGGTTTCCTGGTGCCATCTGGAGACTCGGAGGGCTGTTGAGGAGGACGACACTGCTGTGACTGGTGTGATGAAGAATTTTGAGAATTTTGATCAGTTCTGATCAGATTAAGCAGGTCTTCCAGGGCTCCTCTATGGTTCGGCGCCATTAGCACCAGCCGGAAACTCAGCAAGCTTGGAGATCTACCAAGACGGAAGCAGTTTAAGATGACCTGTGAACCAGACACGCACAAATGTCACGAGACTTCAAAGGTTTCGAAAGTCAGCTGGTTTAAGTAGTTTCAGTATGTTTTGTAGTTAAGTTATATCAAGTTGTTGTCAGCAGTCATAAAGTATGGATCATAAATGGTCTGTTCATGTCTGTTCCGTTTTTGTCTTAAGCCCCCGTAGCCACCCTGATTTTTGTGTTTTATGTGTCCACGCGATCATGATACCTAATTCTTTACAAACTCGTCGTGGTGTCACTGTGCCACTGTTTCTTGCTTTCCAAGACCTTAATGCCAAGCTCGCAGTTGACAGGCTGGTGGAAGGGGGACGTGGAATAGTAGATGCCGACTAGGTTCTCAATGGCCCTGGCCCATTCATCCCCGAAGCTTTTGAAATCGGAGCGACAGCACTGCAACCGGGCAAGGTTGCTTCCAAAACATCGAAGATCGGGAGAATCCTTCAGAATCTGGACAGTAAGATACAGTAAGATACAGTAAGATACAGTAAGATACAGTAAGATACAGTACATCTGAAACTTTGCAGCTTTGCAGCCGTGACCTTTGTGTCACCAGGCTCCTGGTCCGTCCCACACCCCATGAGGCCAGGGTCCCGAACAAAAGATCACGGATGATCAATGCAAAAGAATATCAAGAGAATGCAAGGGATGTATGATGATGATTGATGATGTATGTATGTGGATCATGTCAAGGATTCAAGGATGGAGTGAGTTGGGGATATGTATGGTCGCTTATGGTCCCGGTTAGATTTCAGACGTGAACAACACAGAAGACTCAAGCAGCACATGGCTAGCTGAGCAGCTGCCAGGATATTACAGCAGGTAAGGACAAGTGACTAGAGCTGTTTTTCTCCGGCAGAACTTGTTGACATGAAACCTTTATGTGCTCATGCAATGTGATGTAATGTGATAATTAGCTAGAGAATGCTAAGACTTAGTTTAAGATTTAGTTTCCTTTCAGTCTCTTCCATCTCTGGATCGCGCTGGCTTCTTTGCTTCACTTGCTTCACATTCCTCGAGGTATCCGATGCCGATGCCTCAAATGCCCCCGATGCCTTTCAGCCAGAGCATGCTGGGCATCGGTCCTAGCATCGGTATGCAGGGCAGCGGAAATCAGAGCTTGGGGCGGTTTGGTCTGAGCAATTCAATCAGCTAAGCATTGCTCAAGCATGACAAGAGAGTAGCGATGTCGAGGAAATCGGCGCTGGTAAGCACATGTAAGCGCACGACAAGGCAGACTTCTCATAGACTTGTCGTATCCCGTTGTCGTATCCCTTAGTACTTCCGTATATTTCCGTATCCTGTATAGTCATATCATGTCATATCCAATTGGACCCAGCCTGCGGCCTTGTGCGCCTTGTGTCTCGACATCGTCCATGCTCTGCAAACGAATCTTCCATCTTCCAACATTGGAACAACGAGGGATGGCCAGTGGCCGGTGGAAATTATGCGAAAAGTACCATGGTGCATTGATTTCCACATAATGTGCATTACAAATATTTGCAAATAATCTCTGAACAGGTTGCATCATGTTGCATCCATTTCATGCGCCTTGAAGCGCCTGAAAGTGCTGTTTACCTGTCTGGACTTGGTTCCGAAGCACCAGATTCACCTGCGGTCTTGATACAGCCACATTGCTTTCATTGCTTTCATTGCTTGGTTGATCTTTGCAAAGCGTTCCCGGGAATCCTTGTTTGGTGTTTGGTGCGGCTCATCCTCGTCATCCTCGTCATCCTCGCTTATTTTTTGCCAGTTGGCCAAGTCAATTACAATGTCTCACAAATCTCACAAGCAAATGTGGCTCACCATCCAAAGGTTCTGTGCCATCAGAGATGCCATGTCAGCCATGTAAGTTTTAGAATGTTCACCCAATTTGCACATAAGTAAACCAGCTGATCCATGCTGATCCTATTTCTTGTGAGCAGTTGTTGGATTCCTTCGCGTCCACACAGAGCATCAAAGTAGAAATCTCATCCTGTGTGATAGCACTTTGAGTCATGTGGCTTCACCATGCTTCACCAACCCACCATGGAGTGAAAGAATATGAAAGGACAAACATGGACAAACTGTTCACTGTTGACCGTGAAGAGAGGTTTCAGCAGGGGGAGACTTTAGGCTGAAACACGATTCAAAATTAAAGCTAGTGGATTCAGCTTCTCAAATCTCAGCAGTCCCCGGCAGTCCCCCCCCATGATCACGGGTGAGCTGTTCTCCTTACTTGTTTCAGAGCAAACACTCGGTTTGCAATTTTTGCAAGAAAGCGATATAATATGATAATATATGATATAATTAAAGCATATAAAGCGATCTTGATCCAAGACTGCCCAGACTCGCATTCAAAGATGGCCAGAAAGCATCATGCTGCAATGTGCTTAACACAAGGAGTTTTTTGCGCTAATGAGAGGACATTACCACAATGGAGAAAAGGTGTGATGCACTTAGAGTCTGTGTTGCCAGCAGAGCCAGGGCTATTCGTGTGGCAAATTTCAAACCTTGGCATGTTCAGATTGCTCTGGATCAGACTGGCTGCAAAGTCATAGACTCAGATTACATCAAGTTGTTCTGTGCTGAACTGAAGCCGTATCCCTGACACATCTTACGATTCGTAAGAGCATGCTGAACAGCTTTGCTCGTGTGCTACCTGGGTGTGGGAATCAACATTTACCAACATGTCGTAACATGTCAATATGTCTTTGCCGGTTGCATTTTGTATACCTTTCCAGCTCGAGAGGTGGGAAGGCAATGGAATGCACGCAATTCTTGCAGCACACCAAAATATCTCAAGATCAAGGCAGCAAAGGTAACGAAGGCAAGATATTCAGCCAGTAGATCACATGCAACTTGGTTAAGATCACGTGGTTGATCACTTAACCATATTTAACCGAGTTAGCCAAGAGTTTTCGTGGTTCACAAAATGATCAAAACACTCTGGAAAACGCGGCTGCGAAGCTGCGCCAACTGTCACGCCATGTGCATAATACGTCTAACCCGAGAAGGACCTTCAGTGCGATCGCGGGCACCTCATACAAATATCCTGAGTTATGAAGAGGTTTCAGACGATTTTGAGACTGTGGAAATGAAAGGGCGGTCTTTGGTACCAACTCCAGCTTGCAAAAGGTATCAGAAGGTAGAGTCCAATGTAAGCTATGTCCCGTTAGGTTGGCCAATTGGATGTGGGCTGGGAATTGCACTTTTTCAAAGGGCAACAGTTTTCCTTTCCCCAGGAGAGCAAAACGATGCGAGTGAGATGGTTTACTGGTCTGGTCCGGGACCACGGCAGATGCTTTGGCCTATTTTGGCCTTTGTTGGCCTTTCATATGCCTAGTGTTTTGAGGCGGATCTAAGTTGAGAGCAGATGACCCTGACTATCCCTGACCATCCCTGACCATGACCCTTGGCAGTGGACATCAACAGGGCCGCGTGCCGCATGCCACATCTGTCGGTGCTGAGGCCTTCAGGCCCTCACCCGAGGGAGTGGGTCTCCCAGAATACCAAGTTGCATAGAGATCCAAACAGATAGAGATAGACAGAGACACTCCGAATCATTCCGATTTTCCCCAAATGTTTCTGATGTTTCTATACGTATCTATACGTATGTTTCTGATGTTTCTCATGTCAAATTGGTATCATTTGGTTTCAAGTGTCATTTCGTTGCAGCATGCAGCTCTTTGTTCAGGCAGTGATTCGCCACAATTGGCATACTTGGCCCTGAGGCGCAAATCCTGCTCTAAAGCCTTGTTGAGAGCTTGCTTTGATTTGCTTTGCCTTCAGGATGATATGACCACAAGCTATTGCGACTCGCGACCCGTTCTTTTGGATGTTCATGGTCAGCAGTATGTAAGAAGTAGAGGGACATGCTAAGAGAGTGTGAGCTTTGGTCTCGTAAAAGCTGGTTGGCCAAACATTCAACTTGATTCGGTTGGAGATTCAGCTGGTAGATTTCGGTTTATGAACTGAATCGTATGAATTTACTTAACTTGTTATGAACAGGTTGATTCAATTTGATTCTTTATTATCTTTATTGAAGTTGATTCAGGAGTAACTGGATTTCGGGCATCAAACTCCTGGCGCATCTGGCGGCAGGTGTGTGGATCGACAAATAGATCTACAGCCTCCTTTCGACCCAAGGTGCAGATGGCATTTGCTTAGCATTTGCAGTGTTCCAGTTTTATTTACAGTAATCTTCAGAACATCAATATACTAAACTAGATTAATTAAAGTTAAACTAGATTAAACTAGATTAAACTAGATTAAATAAAACTGCATTTGGACAAGCCATGACAAGCCATGGCAAGCCATGACGAGCCTTCAAACATCGTACAAGGTTTGCCAGACCTGGAATTCCTCAAATCTCCTGGAATGAGGTAGTGTGCCGAATCTAATCTAGCTTGCAGTTGTCAGCCTTAGGATATGTCATGGCCTAGAACTAATCGGAATTTGATAGAATCTGATAGAATCTGTCTTGACAAGTATCTTTGATGACAGTACCCAGGCACTGTACGATCTCCGTCTGGGAACGTATCATGGTTTCAGTCGTGAATTGAGACTTAAAAGAATGACATTCATCACAGCCAAGGCAGGCGATCTACATCGCAGAGTTGGACTTTGGAGAACCCAGCTTTGCAGTCGATGCACAGGCGGCAGAGGTACGCCCCAAATTGGATCGGCAGCGTGTGACAGCCTGTGTATTGCAAGTGTTGCAACTGTTGCCCTTATTAGATCTTATTAGACTGCAAGATTCCGCACGATTCTGTAAGATTCTGCAGGATCCGAAGGTCAAAAGGCTTTGGAAAAGGCAATGGTGCTAGCATTTCCCTTGGGCATTTACCGCCGTTAGCATGTTTTCCCTTTGCGACTCAAAGGATGAGTTGGGCAGAAGCCGGAACGAAGTGAACAAGAGCATACAAAAGCCATACATCTGAAAACTTCGCTTATCTTCGCTTATCTTCGCCATGTTTTAAAGTTTTAGCTTAGCATTCTGGCGTTTTGCCATGTTTTGCCTTCTGCCTTCCAGGGCATGGAGATCATGAATGCAGATGATGTTTCATCCACCAGATTAGTTGACCCAGGCGCGAGTGCTAAATGATCTAAATGTTTGTTTTAACAAAATGACAATGAAGGAACTCGGAGGAACCGCTGAATTGATCTTAAAATATCTTAAACAGCCTTTGACGATTTGTGATATCCCGTGTACATGAAGTCTGCGCTCCGAGGATACCCCTGTTAGATCGTGTTACAGTTAGATTCACTTGCTTTAATGATTTGCGACTGGACAAGCAATAAACAAATTAATAAACAACTATCATATGATAAATGCATATAAATGCATCACTAGCGTCATTCTTTGCCTTCCCTGTGTTTGTATTGGAATCTGCCTGTCAAATCAGTCGAAGAGATCCTTTGTCTCTTTTCATCTCTTTAAAGTGGCAGATTCGGGACATGATGGGGTGGGTCTCAGCTGGTTGCAGCCTTTACAACTCCACGACAGGAACAAAAGCTCAGAAGTTGCTGAAGACATCTTAAGATTCTTAAGACATCTTAAGACACTGCAAAGATGTGCAAAGAAAATGCAGCGGTGGCAGCCCATTACCAGGAGCACTTTGACTACTCCATCCACGTACATCGTCTGACGGGCAAAGAGGCGCCCAAACCTGTCCTTGCCGTGGAAGTTTCTTCTCTCTTCATTCTCTTCCATTCGTGGACTTTGTTTTCCCCATTTCGCTATATGACATAGTTAAAATAAATCAAACATAACACAAATAAAATATGATTCTGCTTATGTATATACATATATTATCATATATTAATATATTATATAATATATTATATTACATGTCTCTACTTTTTTTTATCCTTGCCCTCTCTTCAGATCTCTTCATATCTTGCTGAGCGCAGACACACCTGCGAGAGCTACACCTGCTGGGTGTCCTGTCCTTGGAACCCAGCTTCTCAGAGGAAACAGAGGAGCAGCGCTCGGAGCGGAGCAACTCGGATCTCGGATCAACTTGGGCCGGGCCGTTCATCCGTAGGAAAATTACTGTAGGAAACAGAGAAGCCAGAGAGAAGCCAGAGAGAAGCGAGAGAGAAGCGAGAGAAGTGCAAAACTTCAACTCATGTCTATAACATCGTGTGACTTGGAAACTTCGTGAAGATCGTGAAGTGTTCATCGATTTTCTTCGTGGAACAGATCAGACCTCATGGT